CACCCAGAAGTGCCAGGAAGCTGCAGACAGGTTTATCTCCGTCCAAAAGGAGAAAAACGAAAAACAACAGAAAAACCCATCTTGAGGTTATCTTGAGATGATTTCGGGGCTTCTTAGTGTCCCCGCGGCCCGGTCCTCGACCAGGCCTCCACCCCCAGGAAGCAGCCCGTGATAGCTGACTAACACCCAGGTACCTATTTTACTGCTAGGTAACAGGGGCATAGGGTGAAAGAAACTCTGCCCATTGTTTCTCGCCGGCGCCTGGGATCGAACCCAGGACCACAGGATCACAAGTCCAGCGTGCTGTCCGCTCGGCATGGTTCAACCAGGAATGCAAGGTAGCGAAACAACTGAGTAAAAGAAGATGGAGAAACTACAGAAATAACAGAACACCAGAGAGCAGGGAGAGATACCAGAGGGCCAGAAATGAGTACCTCAGAGTGAGGAGGGAAGCAGAGAGACAGTTTGAAAATGACATTGCGAGTAAAGCCAAGACCCAACCACAGCTGCTCCACAGCCACATCAGGAGGAAAACAGCAGTGAAGGAAAAGGGGAGAACAGATACACAGAGAATGACAAGGAGGTGTGTGAAGAACTCAACAAGAGATTCCAGGAGGTCTTCACAATAGAACGAGAAGCCCCTGCACTAAATGAGGAGGCGGCAAACCAAGCAACCTTGGAGGAATTTGACCTCACCAGTGATGAGGTCAAAAGGTGTCTGCTGGAGCTGGATGTGACAAAGGCTGTTGGGCCTGACAGAATCTCACCATGGATACTAAAGGAAGGTGCAAAAGCACTAAGTGTGCCACTCTCTATGGTGTATAACAGGTCACTGGAAACAGGAGACTTACCAGAAAGTTGGAAGACAGCTAACATGGTCCCAATATACAAAAAGGGTGACAGGCAAGAGGCACTGAACTACAGGCCAGTTTCCTTTACTTGTATACCATGCAAGGTGATAGAGAAGATCGTGAGGAAAAGGCTCGTAAAGCATTTGGAGGGAAATAACTTTGTAACACACGACCAACATGGGTTCAGGGATGGTAAATCGTGCCTCACAGGTTTAATAGAATTTTATGACCAGGCAACAAAAATTAATCAGGAAAGAGAAGGGTGGGCCGACTGCATTTTCCTGGACTGCCAGAAAGCCTTTGACACAGTACCCCATAAAAGGCTGTTAAAAAAGTTGGAGCAACAGGCAGGAGTAAAAGGGAAGGTGCTCCAGTGGATAAAGGAGTACTTAAGCAACAGGAAACAGCGAGTAACGGTGAGGGGGGAGACATCAGAATGGCGAGATGGAATGGAATGTCACCAGCGGAGTCGCACAGGGCTCAGTACTTGCACCCATCCTGTTTCTAATGCATGTAAACGATCTTCCAGAGGGTATAGACTCATTTCTCTCAATGTTTGCTGATGATGCAAAAATTATGAGAAGTGTCGGAAAATCCGACACCATTTAATATATCATACAGACAGATAATTGCTGCTGTATTACCAACAAGTTACCCATAGAAAACGTAACTTGTAGTGGAATTACCGTCTAAAGAAAACGGGATATCATCACCACATACTATTATAATTCACCAGCTATTATGGTGGGAATTATTCTTAAATACATTAGTCTTTGGACTTTACCATCATAAAAACATCTTATATAAATTAACTTAATTATCAATATTAAAGTAGAGTAAATGTGACCCTTCTATCACTTTCTGAAATCTGGACAATGTAAGCCAGGCGTCAGGGAGGAAGGAGGGCAGCCATTGTTGAGACTAGACCAGAGGCTCACACGGGAGCAAATTCGGCTCCTGTTAATTTTACTTGGACGTAGTGTTATGGAAACCAAAGGTGTACCATCTTCAACACGCTGTCAACAAATCAAGTTAAGTGTTCTTTCCGAAACCCGTACATCTATCATTAGTGGCCATTAATGTCATTGGGTAGGGTGACCCGGTTAGAACGCGACATCGCCTCAAACTAAAGGTAATTAAGCCAGGTCTTCATGTTCCATGTATAGTGTTTTCTCTGATATAGCTTGTCATATATAGAATCTGGCTTTACAGCTAGCGCCTTTTTGACAGGTCAAGACGAGGAAGCATATGCTTTGTGCATCAGTTACCTGGGTGATGGAAGCTACCTCAAAGAGGATAATTTGGTGTCTACACCCTAGTTATACCTGGTGGACAAAGGCCTGCTGTACAAATAAGATAAGGAACCTTTTCAATGTATGTAGTCTAATACTGTAGTTTGATTGGCTGCATATATATAAATAATATAAACCCCCCTAATGTGTAGAGGATCGATTTGTGAGATTATGAGATTATTGCAGAAATACAGTCCACTTATCATTATACAAATTGCTATCGAAGTATATAAATTAACGTAAATATAAATTCATATAAATTAAATAAATATAAATCTCACAGGTCGGTTCCCACAAGAAGAATCAAGACGGATGAAGATAGACAGAGACTACAGGATGACCTGGATAAACTGGAGGAATGGTCTAAAAAATGTTTGCTAAAGTTCAACTTAGGAAAGTGTAAGGTGATGAAATTAGGCGAAGGGAGCAGGAGGCTGAACACAAGGTATCATCTGAGAGGTGAAATCCTGCAAGAGTCAAATAGAGAGAAAGATTTGGGGGTTGATATCACACCGAACCTGTCCCCAGAGGCCCACATCAAAAGAATATCATCAGCGGCATATGCTAGACTGGTCAACATAAGAACTGCCTTTAGAAACTTGTGTAAGGAATCTTTCAGAACCCTGTATACCACTTATGTCAGACCAATCCTGGAGTATGCATCTCCAGCCTGGAGTCCATACCTAGTTAAACACAAGACAAAGCTACAGAAGATTCAGAGGTATGCCACCAGGCTCGTCCCGGAACTGAGAGGTATGAGCTACGAGGAAAGGCTAAAGGAGCTGAACCTCATATCCCTGGAAAACAGAGGAGTAAGGGGAGACATGATAACCACCTACAAAATTCTCAGGGGAATTGACAGGGTTATCTTGAGGTTATCTTGAGATGATTTCGGGGCTTTAGTGTCCCCGCGGCCCGGTCCTCGACCAGGCCTCCACCCCCAGGAAGCAGCCCGTGACAGCTGACTAACACCCAGGTACCTATTTTACTGATAGGTAACAGAGGCATAGGGTGGAAGAAACTCTGCCCATTGCTTCTCGCCGACGCCCGGGATCGAACCCGGGACCACAGGATCACAAGTCCAGTGTGCTGTCTGCTCGGCCGACCGGCTCCCCAAACAAAGGGTGGACAAAGACAAACTATTCAGCACGGGTGGGACACGAACAAGGGGACACAGGTGGAAACTTAGTACCCAGATGAGCCACAGAGACGTCAGAAAGAATTTTTTCAGTGTCAGAGTAGTTAATAAAGGGAATGCACTAGGAAGTCTCCGTGGTGTAGTGGTAAGACACTCGCCTGGCGTTCCGCGAGCGCTATGTCATGGGTTCGTATCCTGGCCGGGGAGGATTTACTGGGCGCAATTCCTTAACTGTAGCCTCTGTTTAACGCAACAGTAAAATGTGTACTTGGATGAAAAAACGATTCTTCGCGGCAGGGGATCGTATTCCAGGGACCATAGGATTAAGGACTTGCCCGAAACGCTACGCGTACTAGTGGCTGTACAAGAATGTAACAACTCTTGTATATATCTCAAAAAAAAAAAAAAAAGAAGTGATGTGGTGGAGGCTGACTCCATACACAGTTTCAAATGTAGATACGATAGAGCCCAATAGGCTCAGGAATCTGTACACCAGTTGATTGACAGTTGAGAGGCGGGACCAAAGAGCCAAAGCTCATCCCCCGCAAGCACAATTAGGTGAGTACAATTAGGTGAGTACAATTTTGTAAAGCCGCTAGTACGCGCAGCGTTTCGGGCAGAAACCATTTGACTAGTCGTATTCCAGAGAAAGATTACGATTAAAGACCTACCCGAAACGCTATGCGTACTAGTGGCTTTACAAGAAAGTAATAACCTCTGTATTCATAACCAAAAAAATATGATGGTTTTGCCAATTTTAAAAATAGAATAGTCAGTAAATTATTAAACTCGCTTTCTCTTATGGTCGGGAAGCAGAAAGAAAACGTCGCCTATGGTTAAAAGTGGTGGGATACTTAGGTAGGTTTTACTCATACTGCATTTTTGAGCTTTCATATGGTAGAGTTGGCGTGGCAAGATGGCTTGCCAGCCAGCCAGCCAGATGGCCGGTCAATCCGTCTGGTCGGCCAAGAGTCATGAACTAACGCTCAAGAGTCAGATTTCCGATATTTTGACAACTGTAAGGGGATTTAAGCCAAATCTGACCCATCGCTGTTTTCACTAATTGGCATATTTTCCAAATAAAAAGTCTTAACGTTTATTTCCCAATATGTGCAAATAGGTTTGGTTAGGTTTGGTTTGGAGAGGAGAGGAGAGGAGCGGAGGGGAGAGGAGAGGAGAGGAGAGGTTCACTGAGGTGAAAATATCATATAGTAACGTGTGAACCAAGATTAGGTGTTTATTACATTAACAAATAGACGTATTTAGTTTTGGCGAGTTGTCGGTTAGTGAATTACATCGATTTATCGAGATAGGTTGTATAGAATCCGAATGTGTACAGGATAAGACACCCCGAAGGGCGAGCTTGGAAGTGTTGACAGAAGAAGAATAAGGGGTGAGACCCTGGAAACACAAACCGAAACTGTCTCTATTTTCCGCTTGTTACAACTTGTAATAAAGTGGTTACATCTTAGATTAACGTGTTTATGATGTATTAGAACGTTGTTACAACTTGCTATATTGGTTGTTATAACTGGTTAGGAGGTGTTAAAACTTGTTCGAACGTCGTAGTTTCGGTGTGTGTTTGGCGGGGAGGAAGTAGAGTTGTAGGAGAAAAAGTGGCAGGGCTAAACCCAGCTGCGTGGTGTTAGGTTGCGGCATTTGAGGCAAGTACTCAGTCAGGTGTTTCAGTGGCAACAACAGGAATATCACAAAACTCACATCATCGCAGCGGCTCACAAGTGTCAGGGCTGAACGTTTACGGATGGTTTGTGCTGGGTGTTGAGAGCTGTATATTTGAAGAAGATGCATGCTGGGTGTTGAGAGCTAAAGTTTAACGAAATACAGAGTTAGGAGGAGGATTATGACTGGTAGAGAAGAGGTCGTGGGTGTTTCGTGGTTGTCTAAGAGTGTATAAGAGAAAGTCAATGTATTGTTGGTGATAAGAGAGTAGTCTGACAAGTTGTTTGTCTAATAAAGTTTTCCAGTAGACACTGAGGGCAGGAATGTTGGTAACATCATGAAGACATTCCCTGGTATTGAAATCGTCCCATCGAGTGTTAAGTACCCATCTCAGTGCTCTATTCTGTATTCTCTGAAGCTTTAGTTTGTCAGTGGGTGCGGCTGAGAAAAGAGCTATTGGAGCATATGTTATTCCTAGTAGGATTTTGTTAAAAATGGGAGTCTGTACTATGGGGGATCTAGTATAACATGGATGTAGGGGCAGTAGTTAGCATTAAGGGTTATCAAATATGGGAGATCTAAAAGGCCCCCAATAAAATATCAAAATAAACTTATAGCGGCTTATTACTGCAATTGTCAGCCTAGAGGTTGATCATAGATCTCCTACACAGGAAGAATGGATACTCCTTTAACTAACTTACCTGTTTATTAACCCTTTAACAACCCCCCATATACATTCACACCAATAACAATAATAATTACTTTACCACACTATCTTACGTTAAAAGCCTTGGTCCAAATAGGCAGGATACAAGGTTTACACTGAGAACAAGCTAGGGTAAAGTACTACAAGTGAAGCACTTGAGCTTGGGCAGCTTAGGGGGTAGTGAGCCCACGTGGTACCCTAACACAACACAACACTAATGGGTACCCAAACACTGGCAAATACTACCCCAAGGTCTCCACCAACCTTACAAACCCAGAGTAGGCACACTTAAAAAACACAGGACTTAACTTAATGGTACAGGAACTTAAGGTAAGGGAAACAAGTAAGAGGAAAGGTAGAGGAGTGCAGAGCAGCTCAGAAAGGTCTTGATCCCCACGAACGCCAGTCAGAGAAGAGAGAGCGTCTCCACTCTCCTCCCTCAGTTCACTCGCTGCCAGCAGACTACTCAACTAATCGTACAGCATTCCTATCCCAAGTTTACTCAGGTTTACTTTACAAATGATTAGAAAGTATTAGTAAATATAGTTGGTGCCTATTTTATTATTTAATAATCAACCCCAAGCTCAGTCTTTATATGCTCTGTGAGAAACAAGAATAGTCTTACGTCTGGCAGGGAAGATACAAACAAATGCATCTCGCCATGCATCCCTCTACTAAAAAGTAATTTATTTAGCTCAATTTTGACCTCTGGTTTCCACTGAGGAACCCAGGATCGTAACACTCTTCTAGTAGTATTTCTAGGGGATTCCTAGCAGCATATCTAGTACGATTCTTAGTAAGATTTCTAGTAGGATTTCTAATAGGATTTCTAGGTGAATTCTAGTAGGATTTCTAGGGGATTCATAGTAAGATTTCCGGTAGGGTTTCTAGTAGGATTTCTAGGATGATTTCTAGTGGGGATTTCTAGGGGATTCCTAGTAGGAGCTCTAGTAGGATTTCTAGTAGGATTTCTATTAAGATTTCTAGTTGGATTCCTAGTAGTATTTCTAGTAGGCTTTCTAGAGGATTCCTAGTAGGATTTCTAGTAGGATTCTTAGTAGGATTTATAGTAAAATTTCTAGTAGGATTTCTAAGTGATTTCTAAAGGATTCCTAGTAAGATTTTTAGTAAGGTTCCTAGTAGGATTTGTAGTAGGATTTCTAGGTAACTTCTAGTAGGATTTCTAGGATGATTCCTAATGGGGATTTATAGGGGATTCCTAGTAGGATTTCTAGGGGATTCCTAGTAGGATTTCTAGTAAGATTTCTAGTAGGATTCCGTGTAGGATTTCTAGTAGGATTTTTAGGTGATTTCTAGTAGGATGATTTCTGGAAGTATTTCTAAGGAATTTCTAGTAGGATCTCTACTAGGATTCGTAGTTAGGTTTCTAGTAGGATTTCTAGTAGGTTTTCTAGGTGATTTCTAGTAGGATTTCTAGTAGGTTTTCTAGGTGATTTCTAGTAGGATTTCTAAGATTTGAATAGGATTTCTATTAAGATTTCTACTTTTATTTCTACTAGGATTCCTAGTAAGGTTTCTAGTAGGATTTCTAGTGGGATTCCAAGTAGGATTTCCAAGTAGGATTTCCAAGTAGGATTTCTAGTAGGATTTCTAGTTGATTGATCGTACGATTTCTAGGGTGATTTCTAGTAGGATTTATAGGGAATTTCTAGTAGGCTTTCTACTAGGATTTCCTAGTAAGATTTCATGTAGGATTTCAAGCAGGGTTTCTAGGTTTGGTTTGATGTCCAAAGAACTTGGAAAGGATGTGGGAGGAAGAAGGATGGGGTGATGAAATTCTTGGAAGAGGATTTGGATGTGGAGAGAGGAGGCTTAAAAGTTCGGTGGCCCGTCCACCTTGGATTGGAGATGTTTTTTTCAGTCAAAGCCTGTAGCTTAAGTTCTTCTTGGGCGGCAGGAGGCTAGTGGTGGGGCAGGGTGATGTCGTCCTGGTTCACTTAAGGTGGTCTGTCTGGCTTGGAGGAGGCGTCTTCCTTATTGAGGTGGTGAGTGGTAAGTTCACTGTTGCTTGGTGGTGTCTTGGCCACGAGGTATTCGCATGTACTTCCCAAATGACAGCGGTGGTATTGGTATTCCTGTCGGGTCTTCATCTTCTTCCAGGAAGGTCACTTGTCCCCTCTTGAAGTCGAATTTAGGGTCGATGTATTCACTCTCCAGAGCGCAGAGGTCTACATAATGTTCCACGGTCTCGTGGTGGACAAACACAGGGTAAGGAATGCAGGTCTTGAGCTGGTTGATGATCCTGTTGCAATCTAAGGCAATGACCATTCTTGTGCTTCGATTGCCGTTGAAAGTGCCACCGTGATTGAGGTAAAGTCCATAGTAGGGCTTTTTCTTGCTTGATTTGCTTGGGTTTAGGTCGAAGTCTGGGGCCTCATATGTGACGGTCTCAGCCGAGGCAGATGGAAGCAGTGGTGCTTCTAGGAACTCTGGTGCTGGTTCTGGTTCTGAATCTGATTCTGATTCCACTTGCCGACGTTTTGCTTTCCTTTTCGTCCATCCCCGGCTGGTGGGGGCAGGTGATGAGGTTGACTGGTCTGCTGTGGTGGTGGTCAGGGTGGATGCTGTTGCCTAGGTGACTTGTGCTGGGTTCGACTCCGGTGGTGGTGGTTGCGGTATGACTGCAGTTACTGTTGGTGTTGGAATCTCTTCTGTTTGGGTTGAAGCAGCGTTGTGATGTTGAAATAGGTCTGCTGGTATCAACATTGTAGGCAGGTTGTTCTGGGCGAGCAGCCTGTTCAGTACTCTCACGTATTTTGCGTTGTCTGTTCCCGCCTCTCTCTCAGCTACACTGATCAGGCATGGGATGAGAGTGGTGTTGGTCGAGGCCGCTGATTGGTTGACAGTCAAGTTGGTTGGCTGAGCTGCAGTCGCCTGTGTCCTGGGTCTCCATTGTGGGGTGGTCTGGCCTGGTGTGGACGTCTGTGTAGCAGAAGCAGAAGCGTTGGGAAGCACTGGAAACGATGTAGCTTGGATATTGAAGCTCGCCGGCTGATTGGTTGTTGGGTTGGCAGTTACTGTTTTATTTATTTCATCTAGTCGTACTTGGCAGTCCATGGAGACAGCGATGTGAGCTCCTCCACAATTGAGGCACAGCTTGGTGGTTGACCGGCAGGTTTTGAAGTGATGATCCTGGGTACAAATGCTGCATTTAACCTCTGCTTGTTGGCAGTTCTTGGTATCATGATCGTACTTGTAGCACTTAAAGCACTGGCGAATGTTGTAGTAACGTTCCTTCTTTACAGTGTCAGGTGTGATGGAAATATCCAGACATCTAAATCCATTTTCCACAGCTTGGGTCGCTGCAGCAGCTGTTGTGAAGGTGACCTTGAGAGTAGGCCTAGGGTTGTCGTCGTTCTTGATGACCTTGACTGTAGCAGCAGTCAGAGCCGGGTTTCTGGTGTTGATACTATCAAGTATGGTACCAGGGTCCTGGGTGGCGATGTAGACACTCGTGTGGCTGACGAAGATGGTTCGTTCAGCCAAGTAGCGACGGTTAGGAGTGATGATCAGGTTGGAGTTTCGTAGGGCGTCCTGGTGTTCTGGTGCAAACAGTTGCTCCAGAGCTTGCTCGCTTGAATAAAGTAGTACAGCGCCGTCAGCATCGTCACGGATGTCCAACGATCGTCGACATCACGATGCATTCGTGATGTCGACGATTTTCCTTAGTAATTGGGGTCCGGTGTAAGTGGTTTCGTCACGAAACCGGACCTTTATGCGGTAAATCATGGCTCTAAACGTTGCTGCCCAATGTTTACCCACCCGGCAGTGCTGGGTGCAGAGAGCCTGATTTAGGTTTGGTTTTCTTTTATCGGTTTCTAGGTGATTTCTAGTAGGATGTCTAGGGGATTCCTAGTAACATTTATAGTAGAATTCCTAGTAGGATTTCTAGGCGATTTCTAGTAGGATTTCCAGGGGAATCCTCATAAGGTTACTAGTAGGTTTTCTAGTAGGATTTTTAGTAGGATTTCTAGGACGAATTCTAGTAGGATTTCTAGGGGATTCCTAGTAGAATTTTTAGTAGGATCTATAGTTGATTTCAAGTAGGATTTCTAAGTGATTTCTAGTAGGATTTCTAGGTGATTTCTGGTAGGATTTTTATGGGATTCCTCATAAGATTTCTAGTTGGATTCCTAGTAGTATTTCTAGTGGGATTTCTAGGGGGATTCCTAGTAGGATTTATAGGGGATTCCTAGTAGGATTTCTAGTAGGAATCTTAGTAGAATTTCTAGTAAAATTTCTAGTAGGATTTCTAGGCGATTTCTAGTATGATTTATAAGGGTTTCCTAGTAAGATTTCTAGTATGGTTCCTAGTAGGATTTCTAGTTGGATTTGTTCTAGGGTTTCTAGGAAACTTCTAGTAGGATTTCTAGGATGATTCCTAATGGGGATTTCTAGTGAGATTCCTAGTAGGATTTCTAGTGGGATTCCTAGTAGTAATTCTAGTAGGATTTCTAGGGGATTCATAGTAGGATTTCTAGGGGATTCATAGTAGGATTCCTTGTAGGATTTCCAGTAGGATTTCTAGTAGGATTCCTTGTAGGATTTCCAGTAGGATTTCTAAGGAATTTCTAGTAGGATCTCTACTAGGATTCGTAGTAAGGTTTATAGTAGGATTTCTAGTAGGGTTTCTAGGTGATTTCTAGTAGTATTTCTAGGATTTTAGTAGGATTTCTATTAAGATTTCTACTAGGATTCCTAGTAAGGTTTTTTAGTGGGATTTACAGTTGGATTCCAAGTAGGATTTCCTAGTAGGATTTCTAGTAGGATTTATAGTAGAATTTCTAGTAGGATTTATAGTAGAATTTCTGGTAGGATTTCTAGGTGATTTCTCTCGTACGATTTCTAGGATTATTTCTAGTAGGATTTATAAGTAATTTCTAGTAGGATTGCTACTAGAATTTCCTAGAAAGATTTCATGAAGGATTTCAAGTAGGGTTTCTAGGTGATTTCCAGTAGGATTTCTAGCAGGATTTCTAGTAGGATTCTTGGTAGGATTTCCTAGTAAGATTTCAAGTAGGGTTTCTAGGTGATTTCTAGTAGGATTTCTAGGATGATTTCTAGTATGATTTCTAGGTGATTTCTAGTAGGATTTTTAGGATGATTTCTAGTGGGATTTCTAGGGGATCCCTATTAGGATTTCTAGTAGGATTTATAATAGGATTCCTGTTAGTATTTCTAATAGGAATTCCAGTAGGTTTTCTAGGTGATTTCTATTAGGATTTCTGGGATGATTTTTAGTAGGATTTCTATTAAGATTTTTAGATGAATTCCTAGTAGTATTTCTAGGGGATTCCTAGTAGGATCTATAGTAGGATTTTGAATAGGATTTCTAGTAAGATTTCTAGTAGGATTTCTAGGGGATTCCTAGTAAGAATTCTAGTTTGATTCTGAGTAGGGTTTCTAGTAGGAATTCTAGTAGGATTTCTAGGTGATTTCTAGTGGGATATCTAGGGGATTCCTAGTATGATGTCTAGTACGGTTCCTAGTAGGATTTCTAGTAGGATTTATAAGTGACTTCGATAAGTGGGATTTCTAGTCGACTTAATAAGTAGGATTTCTGGGATGATTTCTATTAGGATTCCTAGTATTCTAGCGGGATTTCTAGGGGATTCCTAGTTGAATTTCTAGTAGGATTCCAAGTAGGATTCCTAGTACGGTTTCTAGTAGGATTTCTAGGGGATTCCTAGTGAGATTTCTAGTAGGGTTCCTTATAGAATTTCAAGTAGGATTTCTAGGTGACTTCTAGTAGGATTTCTAGGTGACTTCTAGTTGGATTTCTAGGATGTTTCTAGTGTGGATTTCTAGGGAATTCCTAGTAAAATTTATAGTAGGATTCCTCGTAGGATTTCTAGTAAAATTTCTAGGTGATTTCTAGTAGGATTCCTAGTAGGATTTCTTGTTAGATTTCTAGTAGGATTCCTAGTAGGATTTGTAGTAGGATTTCTAATAGGATTTCTAATAGGATTTCAATGTGATTTCCAGTAGGATTTCTAGGATGGTTTCTAGTAGGATTTCTAGGGGATTTCTAGTAGGTTTTTACTTGGATTCCTAGTAGGGTTTCTAGTAGGATTTGTAGTAGGATTCCTAGTAGGATTTCATAGTAGGATTTCTAGTAGGATTTATAGGTGATTTCTTGTACGATTTCTAGGCTGATTTCTAGTAGATTTCTAGGGAATTTCAAGCAAGATTTCTACTAGGATTCCGAATAAGGTTTCTAGTAGGATTTCTAGTAGGAGACCTAGTAGAATTTCAAGTAGGATTTCTAGCAAGTTTTCTAGGAGATTTCTAGTAGGATTTCTACTAAGATTTATAGTAAGATTTGTAGTAAGATTTCTAGTGGGATTCCTTGTAGGATTTCTAGTTAGATTTCTAGTAAGATTTCCAGTAGGATTTCTAGTAGGATTACTAGGGGAATTTATAGTAAGATTTCCAGTGGGATTCCTATTAGGATTTCTGGTAGGATATCTAGTAGGATTTCTAGGTGATTTTTAGTAGGAATTCTAGGATGATTTCTAGTGGGATTTCTAATGATTTTCCAGTAGGATTTCTAGGGGATTCCTTCTAGGATTTCTAGTAGTATTTCTAGGTGATTTATAGTTGGATTTCTAGGATGATTTCTAGTAGGATTTCTAGGGGATTCCTAGCAGGATTCCTAGTAGGATTCCTAGTAGGATTTCTAGTAAGATTTCTAGGATGATTTCTAGTAGGATTTATAGGTAGTTTATAGTAGAATTTCTACTTGATTCCTAGTAAGGGTTCTAATATTATTTCTAGTAGGATTCCTAGTAGGATTTCTAGTAGAGTTTCTAGTAGGATTTCTAGTAAGAGATCTAGTTTGATGCATAGTAGTATTTCTAGTAGGATTTCTAGGAGATTCTTAGTAGGATTTCTAATAGGATTTTTGGTAGGATTCCTAGTAGGATTTCTATTGGGATTTCTAGGTGAATTCTAGTAGGATTTCAATGATTTCAAGTAGGCTTTTTAGTGAATAAATGATTACAAATATTTCCAAAGACAAAAACTGCCTCATCCAGCCCGCCTCTTCCCTCTTGGAGTTGGAGTTGGTGGGTTTGTGGATTTGGAATGAGGGAAGAGGCGGGCTGGATGAGGCAGTTTTTGTCTTTGGAAATATTTGTAATCATTTTATATAGAGATGAGTGTGAGCAGAAATGACACACTATAGTAGTAATTTATAGTGAAGATAATAATGTATTTTCCAAATGAGAACAAATTATGTGAGGCGAAACCTTAAGTCGAGATAAAAGTAGGTTGTCAACAACTCCACAATAAAAGATTTGGTTGTGGAGGAGATTCCCGCCCGAAGGTCGGCCATCTTGGCGCGCAGTTTGAACGCTTCTGGCTGGACTTTCTTTCCACACCTCGCCTGGAGCTCATCTTTGAATTCAAATGGCTTTTTTGAACCAGTGTGTGCTCACTGCAGCTACCCTGGGGCTCACAGGACCGGGGGAGGCCGGAGCCTCACTAATGGACGCCTCCCCGAGCAGGGGCGCCATGTACGTTGACAGCAAGTCCCAGAGTAATTGTAATTGGCATATTTTCGGTATAAAAAGTCGGAATTTCAAACTGCGAATAGGTACAGAGAGCCAGAATTTGGGTTCAAAATATGGCTCAGGTATCGAATTTGGGATGTTTGGGATATATTGAAAACTGCAGGGGGGTTTGGGCAAAATATGACCCACCGCCGTTTTCAGTAATTGGCAGATTTTTTGTATAAAAAGTCGGAATTTCAAACTGCGAAAATGTCGGAATTTTCGCAGTTTACCAATTACATAATTCGCAAATATGCAAATTACTGAAAACGGCGATGGGTCATATTTTGCCCAAACCCCCCTGCAGTTTTCAAAATGTCTGAAATGTCGGAAATTTGACTCCTGAGCGTAATTTTTTATCCGAATTCTGACTCTCTGCACCTATTTTCAGTTTCAAATTACGACTTTTTATACCGAAAATATGCCAATTACTGAAAACGGCGATGGGTCATATTTTGCCCAAACCCCCCTGCAGTTTTCAAAATGTCTGAAATGTCGGAAATTTGACTCCTGAGCGTGATTTTTGAGCCGAATTCTGACTCTCTGCACCTATTTTCAGTTTTAAATTACGACGTTTCATACCGAAAATATGCCAATTACTGAAAATGGCGATGGGTCATATTTTGCCCAAACCCCCCTGCAGTTTTCAAAATGTCCGAAATGTCGGAAATTTGACTCCTGAGCGTGATTTTTGAGCCGAATTTTGACTCTCTGCACCTATTTTTAGTTTCAAATTACGAAGTTTCATACCGAAAATATGCCAATTACTGAAAACGGCGATGGGTCATATTTTGCCCAAACCCCCCTGCAGTTTTCAAAATGTCTGAAATGTCGGAAATTTGACTCCTGAGCGTGATTTTTGAGCCGTATTCTGACTCTCTGCGCCTATTTTCAGTTTCAAATTACGACGTTTCATACCGAAAATATACCAATTACTGTAAACGGCGATGGGTCATATTTTGCCCAAACCCCCCTGCAGTTTTCAGAAT